ATCAACAAATTTGTGGCTTTGTTGGCAGTATATACGGGTATCATGAAAGGATTTTCATTAAACTAAAATGGTTAAGGTAGATCTGTAGGACTAAAGGTTACATAAAACATTTCAGGGTTTCTCATTACCATAGCAATCAGCTCATTTTAGCTTTCAAGCAAAAAACCATAACACTAAAACAGACGTAAGATGAAGTTTGAGAAATAAGGATAAAGAAGCTGTAAGTCAAATGAATTCACATCCACAGGGCAGATTGTAATCAAGGTAATTAGATTTCTTGATGAATCAACTAGGTTTATTTAACCTAATGTCAGTCATTTTTGTTAATAGGAGGCAATAAGAATGTCTGTACGTGCCATTATTTGACTTAATTATGGCTACGACTAGTGATTAAATATTCTGTAAGCCTGATACTGATATACCAGAAGGAATCTGGCGAATGATAATTAAAATATAGTATTAGAAAGTTGTGAAAAGAGAGACGAGATAATAGATGCCTAAAATAAATTGCTATTTGGTGTGAAGAGTTTCGAAGACTTATTTAAAAAATAGAGATTGGTAGAACTTTCATTTCATTAAAAATGAGGATTAGAGCCATTCGTAAATTGGTTTTACCGCAAACCGTACTCGGATAATCTTGGAGTTGTGAACACTACATTGTTCGAAGTAGACCTCGACTCATTCTTCTGTAGCCCAAATGAATGCTTTCTTTTGCAAAGTGAAAGACACTATCAAAGTCGGAAACCATCAGTCAAGAAAAATTTACAAAGATCAAAAAAACTAAAATAGTAGCTGACTGGAAGTCTAGTTAATTCTTATGCCTGATTTTGCTGTCTTAATAAGGCACATGATTGGCCCTAAGCGCTTGCAGATAAATGAGGTTGATGTATGGAAACAATACGAATGCAGACTGTGATCATCCAGTTATGCTGACGTGGATTCTGTCTTACCGACTGCCTAGTCTTCTGATAAGCTATGAATTCTCTAAATCTGAAGATCGATGGCTTTAGGCGACTCTATTTGGCATCTCATAATGACCACATGTTCAACCCCGTCATATTTTCATACTCATAAACATTTGTAAGGCTGTTTTGTGTTTTAATAACTTCTTCTGTGTCATTCGACAAGTCTGCTCCACGAAAGGTCTTCAGCATGACACAAAACCATATAACAACCTGAGATCCAGAGGAGATCCGTAAATTCGTTACCAGAACGCATGACCGAGGAAGGAATTTGTCTTTCTTTATGCATAGTCCCATTTCATCAATAACTCTCAATTCTTTTCGAAAGATGGAGGAAAATTCTTTTCGAAAGATGGAGGAACGGTAGCATTATAAATCTATATGAAGATTTGTCAAATTGTCTTCTTTCTTTAAATAATTGTCTTCATTCATTCTGTATCTTAATAGGCTGAAGTCATTTACAATGAATCTTAATGGATAATTGTTCAGGATTTATGTTTGTTGGAGGAAAACTTCTTACTAGAGTTGATTATATGACCCCCTAAATTACGAATTAAACACTCATATGTGAGTGTATTTATTGACCAAGACATCCATAAAATAGACTTTACTGTCCTTTTTTATTTATATCTTAAACTTCTTTCTTCTATCTAGTATATTCATCTGCCTTTTTGCCATGATAAATACAGAACACCATACATAATGGTCTAAGACCCGACGCTCTGAAGGATTTGGAGACTTCATATCTGAACGATAGATTGAGAATTCAACACAAATTAACAAAAAACGACGTCCTGAATAGATGGAACGAATGTAGCAAATTATGCAGGAATAGGATCGGATAAAATTGTTGCGAAGTACGCTTTAATAAACATTAGTCTGACTTTGGCTCCAATATGTCAAACGACTCATGGGTATTGGATGCATAAATCTAAAATCCGCTTCAATATTATAGGGTAAAATGCTAATTTAATTCTTTCTGGAAACGGCTTTGACCACATTTTCAGATATCAACCTCATTCATCTGCAAACTTCTAAGACAATATGAAAAAGCTAACCAAATCGCAAGATCGTAAAATTAGTTATAAGAATTGAATATAATTCCAGCCGGCCACTTTTGCTGATCTTGGTGATTTTTCGAGGCTAAACAATAAGCCGAGATCTTCTTCGAACAATACTGCAGTCAAAACTCCAAGGATATATTCTTTCGACTTGCAGTGAGGCTAATTCACAAATCACTTCCATCCTCCTTTAAAAAAAAGGAAAATACTCCAGAATTTAAAGCGTTTAGGATCTGACTACTTAATTGCTAACGTAGAGATACAATACTAATTTTGCATACTTTGGCAATGATGTCTGTCAGAATTTTTTATCTTTGTGAAGAGTAGCATCAGGCTAAGGTACATCCCACTATAATTCACTTCGAGTAACTATATCATATTTTATTATGCAGGAAATTGAGTAGTTTCTACAGGTATTTTCAAAGTTTATGTTAATTGCGAAATTTTTGTGACATTTACTTGAATATCCAAAGCTAAATAATGGAGAAAAACACGCACCAGTGTTCACTCGAATGCATAATTCTTTTTCTTTTATATGGCGATATAACAAGTTGCTTTCAAGTCACTTCACCCCAATATTCAATCCATTTATGAATAAATGCTGAATATACAGTTCCTTGAATCGAGGCAGGACGCTTTACCCTTTAGTGGCATCAGTCACAAACTTTCCGTATTAATAAAACCAAGGAACAGTATTTTCATTTAATGTGACTATACTAAATACCTACATGAGTATATATGACATATTAGAATTAAGTGCAATTCATAGATATCCTGTGCAAAGAATAATAAATTTCCTTAGTAATATAATATTTATAAGCTCCAACGTAGGAAAACGGACTTACTAAAAACCCTAAGCGTCAGACTGACATCTTAATTGACATAACTTGACAAGTTGTAGCTTGGTACTACAAATGACACGACTTAGTGACGATGCTGACTATTAAGCTGGCGAAACACTTGAGGATAGACCAAGTCCACGATCCGGTGCTGGAAATTATAGTGACTTTTGGGACAAAGGACTCCAAACAGGATACGCGCATAGAGGTTGCCTTGATAGCACAACCAAGTTGCTGTAACGAGGTCAACCCACCACTATGGAGTGAATAAAACCGTGATCGAATTTGTGACTACACAATTTTGGTATTCATACAACACATTGCCTAACTCCTTTGTGAATCCTCTCTCTATGTAAAGAAGTAGTCAAGTCTATGAGCAGCTGTTTGAGATAAATGCAGGTGCAATGAAATTTAATAAATCAGATTATTTTCGAGCTAATTTAAAGGAACAAATTTAAGTAGAAAGTAGAAAGTTTTACTCATCCTGTGTCGCTTAAGGTCTTGCAAAAACTGGCAATTAATTCTACCAAATCAAACGACTAGGTCTCACATTACATTTAGCATCAGTTGGCAATAAGTATCATTGGGCAAAACTGTCATTTATCGATATATACCAAGACATTGATAGATAATCATTACACGATATATATAATTATTACCTATTCTTTTTTGCAAGTCGGGTTTCGAGGCTAACAGTAAATCAGGTATATAAGATGTGTTCACCCTATTTCACTTAAGGTGTTGAAGGACTGGTAACTGAATTCATCACTTTAATCACCTTAAACGAAAGAGTGGGAACAAATCTCATATACCTGATTTGCGGCTAGTCTCGTGACCCTACTTACAACCGAAACAAGTAATGTAGTTAGTTGCTGTAGTAAATATCACATTGTTTTATCAACAATTCCACCAAAGAATGTGATATGGGAAAATATCTGGCATTCCTTGCAATTAACATCTGTCCTCTGACCCAAGAGCATTCGTGGCAATGTGGCCTAGTGGTTAACGTGTCAAGGGTATGCGCTGTACCGTCATGGTTCGAGTCCCACTGGGGGTGTTTATGAGGCCTAGGCAGGGTGGAAACTGTAGTCCACCCTTAATGAGAATACTTTTTGGGAGGCAAGGCTGTGCAAATGTCAATGGAAACATCATTGTGGTACAATTTCACTACTATTCGTTCATCCTCTTAAACGAAAAACGGTGAAAGTACCTCGTCTAATTGTTACAATATAATGAGTATGCTTTGAAACTAATATTGGATCTTGGATAAGAACTTAAGTAATTCTTGGAAAGATGGGTGAATTTACTATATCATCTTGAGTTGCGCAGGATTATTCAAGTTCTACCATGAACTCTATCTGTCCACGCTTCCTCGATGAAATATGTAGAAGCCACGATGTCATTGCATTTCACATAAGTTAACCAAACCAAAAGGTGATTTGAAACTGGTTCATGCAGATTTGTCAACAATAAATATCAGTGCATCAAACCTATATTTGCTATTTCGTTCGAGGCATTACTTTTAATACATAATGATTAGGATAATAACTATATATATATATATATATAGTGCTATACAATTATTATCCAAATCGTAACATTGTAATTATACATACATAATGTATATATATTCCCGGAGAACATTTGTTAAAATTGAATAAATAATGAGTCACCTTGCAAATCATTTCGAGTGACCTATAGCGACTCAACTCCTCATTCTAGCTCTACTCTTAGTTTAGGAGATAATCGTTCGGTATGATTAGAATTAAATGATCCTTTGATGAGGTAAATTCACATTCGATAATGGGATTCTTAAAATACGACGAAAAGGCTTCACAATACTATTGCATTTCACATAAGTTTGCAGTTTAACAATGAGATTTGAAAAAAATCCTTTGTTTAAGTTCTAGATCAAACCCGTATTTTCCAATCTATTCTAAGGTATTACTTTATATTATGATTATTATTATAGTGATATAAGTATATGATAATGATGACATATTTTTATATAGTATATAATACATAATAAATATATAATAAGTATTTGAGCTACCCCAGGATAGATGTTTGGAGTTAACGAATCTCCCACGGTGAATTAAGGTCACTGAGGTTCTTATTAAAGCTGTACTGATAGATGCTTACCGAGAACAGTAAACAGCAGCTCGCGTGGCTATCTCTTGAGAGTCGCAGATAAAAAATCCTCTGGTACCTTTACAGATACGCACTTTAGACTCAAGTGTCGGATTGATGGCCAGGAAGTAGTCCGAGTCCTGCCAGTCCGGCCTCGCCTCCTCCTCGGCCTCCAACTCCCATTCGTCGTCAGAATTGCCTGACTCCCGCTCGCGCAGTCCGCCGACCTGACCGACCGTCTCCGGCTTGGCGCCAGTCGGCTCGAGCCGGGTTCGGTGGCTGCCGTACACGTTGGCCTGCCCGTCGAGCCAGGCCACGTCGGCGTCGAGGCCCGCCTCGGGGGCCCGAGGCCCGACCGAGCCCGCCTGACGAGCGACCACAGCGATGAGCATAATGTCCAGTCGCATTCGACAGAGCACAGCCGCCTCGGCGAACGTGAAACCGTCGAAACTGGCCGAAAAGTTGGCCGAATACAACTCCATGCTCACGCCGTACAGATAGTCCTCGAGCCAGCGTCGGCTGGCCACGTGAAACGCGATGTCCGGCTGTCGTCGGAGGCCGTGAGGCGGGCCGACACAGACGACCGACTGGGCCGTCGGGCCGCCCGGCCGGGCCGACCGGGTAGACACGCGTTGGGCGGCTGCCGCGGCCGCCGCTGTCGTCGGCAGATGAGCATACTTGAGGGGCTGTAGGCTGAACTGGCGCAAGAAGGCCGGCCCGGTGAATTGGCCGGTCTGTCCGGCCAATTCACCGGCGCCCGGCGCTGCCTCGGCCGGTGTGTTGTCCTCCGGTACCAGAAAGAGCCGACTCAGACCGGTGGGAAGACGAGCGGCCCAGGCGAACCGGTGCCGTCGGTGACTGGAGAGCCGGAACAGTGACGAGCCTGCGTTCAGTGGGAGTTGGTCGGCGGCAGCGGCTGCCGACGCAGCGGTCGAACTCGTGGTTGCCATAGCGACATTCGAGAGCGGTGGTGGTGGCGAGCTGACGACTGGGGCTGCATTGAGCATGCTGGTCGGCCGGGCCAGACCGGTTGCCAGGGCACTTGGCCGAAACAACAGAAAGCTCGAGTAGTCCTGATCTTCCGGTTTCTGCGGCACCTTCTTCACACACACGCTCGGTCGCCAGGGCAGTTGAGTACAAGTTGAGGGACGCTTGCTTGCCGTCCAGTTGGTTGACGACCTGCGCAATCGACCGAGAGAATTGCAGCAACGACATGCTCGTGGCGGCTCGTCGGTGCTCGAGACGAGCTCGTCTTCCTCGAGGCTGGTTGGCCGTTGAGACCGGACGACTGGAACCCGATGAGAGGAGCGCATGCAGAAGAGGTTGGTGAGGAGGGTGGAGAAGCCGGGGGCTACACAGCTCTGGGCCAGGAAGCCCAACTTCAATTCGTTAAAGCAGACGATCTCGTCACCAGCGTTCCAATCCCAGCTGGGGATGTTGAGCAGAAAGACCTGTTAGTGGACAATTACGCCCAAACCAATATTGAACAACAGTTTTGAGTGACATCTGAGGCTTGCATTCTTCGAATCTTATGGAAACCAACACCCGAGATAGGAGCCTTTCAAGATTCACTTTCTTCATGTCATTGCCTTGACAATACTCATCTTTGAAAATAAAAAAGCGGTTGCTAAATATTTTTAATTGGATAGCGCTTGCCTGTATGAACTAGTAAAAGAAGCGCCAGTGTATGTAGAAACAAAAACGTAAGTCATTAAAAGACAGGCAGTTTAACTTTTTCATATGAATTTCGTGACCTCCTGATACCATCGTGTTGCAAGTGATGCTTTAATTAGTATATAATGTTTATGCCTCAAAATCCCAGGTTAATCTTAAATAACAACTTGTTTTTCGTATGTGATTAGACTTTCGAGACTACCAGTAAATCAGTAATATGAGATGAATTCACCCAATTTCGTTTAAGATGATAAAGGACTGGTAAAAGAAGAATTTTCCCACAATGATATGAGTTGAGCTGACGATTCCATTTT